CACACTCACTCACACTCACTCACTCACTCACTCACTCACACACTCACTCACACACACTCACTCACACACACACTCACGCACACACACTCACTCACACACACCCGCTCACACACACACACTCACTCACTCACACACACTCACTCACACACACACACACTCACTCACACACACTCACTCACACACACTCACGCACACACACACTCACTCACACACACCCGCTCACACACACACACACACTCACTCACTCACACACACTCACTCACACACACTCACTCACACACACTCACTCACACACACACTCACTCACACACACTCACTCACACACACACTCACTCACACACACACCCACTCACACACACTCACTCATGGAGATGCAAGTGCTGCGTTTGTGTGGCAGGGGCAGCATTTCGGTACTTCGTGCACCTGGGCTTGCGTTTGCGTGGCAGGGGCAGCGTTTGGGAGCTGTCTAAAGGGCTGGGATGTTGTGGCGCGCGCGGCTGTGGGCCCCCATCTCGCGTGGCAGGCGCAGGACTTTGGAGATGCAAGTGCTGAAATCGTGGCAGGCGCAGTACTTCGTGCACCTGGGCTTGCGTTTGCGTGGCAGGGGCAGCATTTGGGAGCTGTTAAAGGGCTGGGGTGTTGTCGCGCGCGCGGCTGTGGGCCCCCATCTCGCGTGGCAGGCGCAGGACTTTGGAGATGCAAGTGCTGAAATCGTGGCAGGCGCAGTACTTCGTGGATGGGCTTGCGTTGGCGTGGCAGAGGCAGCGTTTGGGAGCTGTTTAAAGGGCTGGGGTGTTGTCGCGCGCGCGGCTGTGGGCCCCCATCTCGCGTGGCAGGCGCAGCACTTTGGCCAGGCAAGTGCTGAAATCGTGGCAGGCGCAGTACTTCGTGCACCTAGGCTTGCGTTTGTGTGCCAGGGGCAGCATTTGGGAGCTGTTTAAAGGGGCTGGGGTTTTGTGGCGCGCGCGGCTGTGGGCCCCCAACTCCCGTGGCAGGCACAGCGCTTTGGAGGTGCAAGTGCTGAAGTCGTGGCAGGCGCAGTACTTCGTGTACCTGGGCTTGCGTTTGCGTGGCAGGGGCAGCATTTGGGAGCTGTCTAAAGGGCTGGGGTGTTGTCGCGCGCGCGGCTGTGGGCTTATCTCGCGCGGCACTCGCAGCACTTTGGAGATGCAAGCGTGAAATCGTGACAGGCACAGTACTTCGTGCACCTGGGCTTGCGTTTGCGTGGCAGGGGCAGCATTTGGGAGCTGTCCAAAGGGCTGGGGTGTTGTCGCGCGCGCGGCTGTGGGCCCCCCATCTCGCGTGGCAGGCGCAGGACTTTGGAGATGCAAGTGCTGAAATCGTGGCAGGCGCAGTACTTTGTGCACCTGGGCTTGCGTTCAGGTGCATGCCTTTGTTTTTTTAATGCGTGTCAGGTAATTTTCATTTCATCCTTGAGATTGGAGTTGCAAGTGGGAAGGATATGCAGGCGCAGTACTTCGTGCACCTGGGCTTGCGTTCAGGTGCATGCCTATGTTTTTTAAACTGTGCCAGGCAATTTTCATCCTTGAGATTGGAGTTGCAAGTGGGAAGGATATGGCATCAATCATATTTCGCGCTTGCCGCAGCCATTTGATTGAGAGATTCGCTCATGTTTCAAATTCTGCATTCAGCCCGACAGGCGTTCTTATTCAGGGCTTGCAGCATGTATCAAGTTTAGTTTGGAAATTGAAATCAGCAAAAGGAACTGGACGTAAGTTTTCCTTAGCCGAAGATGCCGGTTGAGAGCCATCGTGGCGCATGGCGAGCATCTGTGCGGAAGGACGGCCGCCACGTGCGAGGTCCAGTGCGACGTTTGCGGGCAGAGGCAGATATTGATTTGTCTCAATTGCAGAACGCGTGCAGCGAGGGGCTAGCAGCATTGGTAGCAGCACACGCAGCGATGTCAGCAGCAGCCAGCTCCAGGCAGCAAGATTTGCAAGAGGAGAGGCCCGCTATGCCAGCGGCAAGGGGGCAGCAAAGCCAGACGCGGGACACGCTGTTTCAAACATTGGTGGACTGCTTTTCCCAGTGGCTGCGTCAAGGGCACTGCGACAGTTGGTCTCGAGCTACGCCAGCATCTCGGGCGTTGGCATCTCGCGCACGCCGGCTGGAAAGCAGTGTCTGACATGTCTGGGATTCTGGACGCTGCTAAGGCTTTGGCCAGTGAGCATTTTGCCATCGAGGCCCTTGCCGAGCAGCCAGACGCCCAATGGCTGCGTGATCTTGGCATCCAGTTTCGCTTGGACTACGGCAGCCGTCCTCTGCATACCTCTGGTTTGGACATTTGCCATGACTATGTGGGCTTGCGGAACCTGGGCAACTCGTGCCATTTGAATTCTGTGGTGCAGAAAGGGCCGCTGTCTAGGCACTCGCAGCGACTTTTTCAGCAGCTGTCTGGAGAAGATGGACGCTGGGACTATGTTTCGCCTGCTGCGCTGCTGCACCAGGTGCTCCTGACCGACGACGCTGCTTTTCAATATGGAGAGTCGGCCGATGCGTCAGAGTGTTGCAGCATGTTGCTGCATTCCTGCCTGACACGGCCAGCGTTGTTTATGGAGCCGCAGGATCGGCTAGGCAGGGCAGGGCGGAGCGCGAAGAGAAGCGTGCTTGCGTTATTTGCTATCACACGCCAGTTGTGTTAATGTTGGAGAGTTGGGTTAGGGGCTGTGTGTAGTGCAGTGGATAGCGTTAGTGTCAGGATGGTGCCTCCGCAACAAAACTTCTCATGAGAGATGTCTCAGGTACAGTTGTGCTGCTTGCCTCTGCAGGAGACTATGTTCACGTGGACGGGATCCATGTGCTGTCTGGGTTTCCTGAGGACGCCGGCGGCCGCGGCGTGACTGTTGGCAGGCTGATGCAGGCGCACTTCGCCGACAGCTTTTGGCCTTCAACGTCAGCCGCGGTTCTTCGCTTGCAGCCAGGTCCAGGAGACAGACTGAGCTGGAACGATTGGACAGTCCGAGTGCCGGGCAAGGTGCTTGGCAGAGATAGTTTGTCTCATTTTGTTTGTCAGCTGTCGGGTGATCGTGTGTGTGTGTGTTTTGACGTTATTTGGTTCGTGTGCGTGAATAGGGAGTTGCGCGTTGCTCGTATCTGGCTGTGCTATCCTTTGCTTTGCAGGCCCAGTACACTGTGACTGGCTTCATCTGGCATGGCAACGACCACTACGTTGATTACCTTGTGCGCGGCCAGCAGTGGTATTGCCTGAGTGATGCAGTTGTGACTGAAGTTTCTCAAGCTGACTTGCCTGCTGACCCTTACATGATTTTCTTGCAGAAAGTCGTGCGCCAGCGCGGCAAGAGTACCAAATCAGGCACAGCGCTGCCAGATGATGCCCTTCATGCCATTTGGATGCGATTGCCAGAAGCAGTGGCGCTGGCAGCCACTCAGCAGCTACCGTCCTGAGCCTGCCATCTTGCGAGCAGCGTCAGCGAGCGCGACCCAGCATGGGAAGGTTCGCGCGGCGTTTTGCTTGCAAGATGCGCTCGAAGTCGCAGGATGGCGGCGTTGCTAGCCGCAAGAGAGCTCGCAGTGTGCCAGAGGATCCGGAGGAGGAAGGCAGGAGTAGGAAGCGAGCTCGTGCACAAGACAAGCGAGCGCGTCACAGACCTGGCAGGGAGGTTAGGCAAGCCAGACAGGACAGCCGCAAAGATCGCGCCGGTCATCAAAGGCAAAGGCATCTCGCAGATGAGCGCGCTGGCCGTGAAGCACGAGCTCGGCAAGACACTGCTTTCTCTGCAGCCTCGTGGTCTGCCAACATGGACGGCTCCCGCGCAGACAAGATCAACAACGAGGACAATCCCTTCCAAAGGTTTCGCCACGCTTTCAGCCTTACTTTGCCACAGGAGCATCAGAAGCTGAGAGAGTGGCCCGAGCAGCCAGTCCTTCTGGGTGCACAGCCTTGCTTGCTTTGCAGCGGCGCAGACTTTGCGAGTCGTGGCGAGCTGCTTGCGCACATCGATGCAGCATGGCGGGCTGCAGCGATATAGGAATGCCTTCTTGCACATGGAGTCGCTATGTCCTCATGTTGTCACGGGGTCGGAGGTGCGGTACTACGTGGGCAACTACGCGGAACTCTTGCGGTCTTCTGCTATGGACTGGGACCAGCATGGCGTTCTTTTGAAGCCTTCCGAGTACACGGGCCAGAAAGGCACAGCTGTGGATGGCCGGGTCGTGATACTGACTCATCAAGAAGTCAAAGCCAAAGCTTCCACTGCGGACGCCGCAGCGCCGAGACACGGCAAAGGCAGCAAAGGCAAGAAGATAGCGGACAAGCCTTCTTTGAAGCTGGAGATGCATCTCGCTGGCACGGACAGCATTAACGAGGTGCTCTATGTGGAAGCTTGGGGGGAACAAGCAGACCACCTGAAGAAGAAGCTCACCCAGGGAGACTTGGTGTCCATTGCTGGAGCGACGCACATTCCGGCCGCGCAGAACCACTCGACATCACGACTGCCGTATCACTTGCGGGCGAAGGGTACCGTGGGAGTCAACGTCATTGTGCAGAAGCTGGACGCTTTGCCTTGGTCGAGTGTGCCAAGCTGGCATCCTTTGGTGCCGCTTTATGCTCTTGACCGTGTGAAGGAAAGGCAGCAAATCTGCGTTGCAGTGCTGATTGAGGAGAATCCGGGCACCGTTGAGAGAGACACTTCGGCTGGCAGAGTGCCGGTGTGCAATGCGGTCGTGCAGCAGGAGGGCACGCACGTGCGGTGTGCATTCTGGCGAGAGCAAGCGGGCGTGCTGGCAGCCAGGAACGCTGGCAAGTGCGTTTTCTTGTATCAAGTCTTGGTGGAAAAAAAGAAAAAAGAAGGATCCTGGGAGCTTGGTAGTTGGCGCATGACTCAAGTCTTGGATTGTCCGCTCGAGAAGGAAGAAGAGATTAAAGCCGCTTTGCGGAAGACAGAAGCATGCAAGATGCTGACCGAAATTCCTACCCGAGGGCGCAATGCGAAGCCGTGCCGAGCACTTTGAGCGCGCTAATGGGAGCCATCATTGTGCCGGGCCAGCTTCGTCAGATGGACACTGTGTTCAAAGTCTGGGGCCTGCAAGTGATGGGTGTCAGCTCCGCGCGGTCCGAGACGGATGAGTGGGTCCTCAAGTCGTGCGGCAAATGCAAGAAGGCAGCGCCTTGTCAGGCGCGGCTAGACAAAAACTAGTATTCATCCAACATACAAGTTGTTTCCTTTCTGCCTGCCAGGCTCATCCAGATGCTGCCTTGGAGCCGCGCATGGCTGTGCGGGTCGATTTGCTGATTCTGACTGCCAGTGTTCCATGCTGCTGTACCACGACCTTCTCACAGCGGTCTTGCAGAACAAGAACCAGCCCTGTGTGCTCCGCAGAACGTCGCGGAGGGCGGTGCGCACTTCGGTGGTGTCTGCCAATGGATCTGGCAAGCGCACAGTGGCTGTGCAAGCTGACTTTCCGAGAGAACGACTACCAGCAGGTCTTGGAATTGGACTGCAAGCACTTAGAGCCATTCTTGGAGCCGCAAAAGCCTGCGGAAGATTTGGCCCGCTTCATGCAGGTTTTGCCACGATGTGCTCTCGGCAAGGGCTGCCCTGTTGCATCTCTGGATGTGCTCAACGTGGACAACGAACTGGGGATACTTCGCGCAGGGCAACTGGATGCTTCGGCGGCTCGAGTGCCTTCAACGACATCCAGCTCCCCGACGAGGAAGCTCTTCAGCAAGATCCACAGTCGGCCTCGGCCATGCGAGTGAAGCGGTCTGTCGACTGCTTGCTCGCACCCCAGCGGCAAGGCGAGCCAGTTCGGGCGAAGCTACGCGCGGCTGGGCCAGCTTCCGCTGTCAACTGGATCTTGCGGGGCCGCCCGGGAGATGTTCACCAAGTTGTCATCATGCAGACGGAGACCATCGGTGAATGGAGTGCTCTATGGCACGTGCCGGTTGCCATCGAAGCTGTCGCATCTTTCGTCGCCTACTGGCAGTTCATCCTGGATTGCCAGAAAGGCCGGAACGCGCTGCTCTTCCAGGCTGAGTGGACGCCGGGCAAGCGCGTCCGCGCAGTGAGAGACAACATGCCATCCGCGGCCAAAAAGTCCAGCGCTTGGCACAGCCCGTAGCTTTCTGTTTCTCTTCTTTTTTGTTTCATCGCATACGGCCTACTCCCAAACCAACTACGCGACCCAGGAAATGAAGGTAGTGGTATCGGAGTAGCCGCGAGATAGTGTTGATGTTCGCATCTTTTTGGCTGTCTTACTTTTTTTGTTTCGTCGCATGCAGCCTACTCCCAAACCAACTACGCGACCCAGGAAGGGAAGGTAGTGGTATCGGAGTAGCCGTGAGATAGTGTTGATGTTCGCATCTTTTTGGGAAGGCTCAGCGCACGCCATCGTCTGTCTGACCCACAAAAAGCCAGCTATGCACTGAGCCATCGACATTTAGCCAGCCAAGCGCGTACACATGCGCGAAGCAAAAGTATGCTGCCGTAGCCATCTTGCGTTAGCTGGAAAACGAAATGCGTTGATGAGTTCCTCAATGGCTATGTCGCCCAGTTGGACTGGCAGCCGGTTGCGGGAGATGCTCATCGGCTGGAACGAAAGCCAGCTGACGTGGTTGAAAGAACAGATTGAGGGCGAGCTGACCGCGCGCTTGGCTGAAGCGAACGGGCTCAACCCGACCTGGCTCCTGGGAGTGGTTCCCCTGGCTCCTTGGAGTGGTCCGAACTCCCAGATGGGTGGCGAGTCACTGTTTGCTGTCGCTCCTGTGAGTACAGAATGTCGGCCAAAGTGCGCCCTTGGTGGGAGTCACATAGACACCTCAAGCTTTGTGGCTGGACACTTTCGAGCGACGCTTATTGGTATTGCCGCGATCACACGCAGCTGCAAGCGTGACTTTCGAAGACAGGCTGCTTGCGCGCGACCCACTATTGGGGAGGTGCTTTTACCAGAAGAGCTTGGCGCATGCAAAAAAAAGGCATCTGGCTGCTGACTGACTGTCTATGTCAGGTTGCTTTTACAACCTGCGATCCTCAATCGATGTAAGTGTGGCGCATCTTCATAAGCATAGACATGTGGGGTTATCCGGTCCTTTAATTTTTAATACTTTTCGCAGAACAGTTGTTGTGAAATTGAACTCCTGGTTCTCGTTTCCCTTAAATGGAAACGCCCCACCTAACCTCCACAAACACCGAATAGGTGTAAGATGCTATATATACCCACTGAAAGGGCGTGTAACTGGGGCATCCTTTTTGTGATAAGTGCCTTCAACTCACTCAGAAGTCTCGCCACTTGTGCCTACATGTTGCAAGTGAAGCAACATCCAACCACAAACCCCTTGTAATTTGAAGGACAGTTTAGGTCATCCACAGTAGCACCCATGGTTGGGTGGTTTTAGGTGTTCCCCAGACCAGTGTAATTCCTGCTTGCCTTTGGAGGGGTTCGCAGTGAAGACCAACCCAAAACGGGGGCGCCGGTTTCCATGAAACACCTCCACCGGACGCTTGGTGTTCCAGGTTTCCGCAGCCCGTGTTCTCAGGAGCTTGTCGCGAGCTGGAGAGTGGGATCACGCGCCGAAGCTGCGAAGCCTTCGACGGATTTTCGGGGTAAGGGGTTGACAAGACTCACCCGAACGCTGGTCAACGTTTGAGAGGGAATGACAATGAGCTCTGGAATTGTCAAGCACTCCCCGAAAACAAAGGATGGGTGGAGTGGTGGGTTCTATGTAAATTTGCCTTTCAGGACCCTACACGGGTTCTAAGAAGCGTTCCAACAAGCGGGTCCGACCGCTTGCTCCAAAGGACACTCACGTGTGTAGCATGAGAGTTCTACCAAAGACAGTGTGCGTTGGTCACTTTGCCTGTCCTTAGCAGGTCACAAGCCATCCCTGTGCTCGTAGGATGTAAAGGTGGGCAGGCAGGTGTGCAGCCTCATGTTTTGCGCGCCAAGTTCTGATTGTGACTCTGCCAAGCCTGCGTAGTTCTGAAGCACAACGGCACCACATGAAGGCTGCCTGCTGCACAGGGGCTAGACTTTCCACAGAAAGCGCGACCAAAGCCTCCAGAATGAAGGATCTGGGGTGCGCCACACCACACCTCCAGAAATGCTTTTAGCGATGGCATGATATCAGTACAAGAGTTGCTTTGGATCCCCCTCATTGGATTAGACTTACACGAGATGCATGCTTTGATGGGGCGAAGGCATGGTTCTTTGTTTCTCTGTAGGGAATCTCAGCTGTGTTGGTGATGTCCATTCGGCCGAGGGGGTTTTGTTTCGCTGTTTTGGGCAGTCCGAACCAGATTCATTTGTTTGGCCTTTCGCGGAATCTGCAAACAGGAGGTTGATCGTGCTGGGGCCCCTGTTTCATGGCTTCCTTACATGGGGGTTTCTCAAAATAGGGGTCCCGAGTTGGTTGGTTTCTTTTGGTTCCCTTCAAGCAAACAGCAAACAGGGTCCACAATTTTGAGAAGCGGCTACGCCTTGCCAAGCAGATTTATTGATTGAGTGAAAAGCGCTGTCAAAAGAACCCCCCCTTCAAACTTCTCATTTTGGGTGCGTCTTATAATGGAACCCCCACAAGTAGTGGTTTGCCTTTGGTTGTCCTTTAAATATTCTAAAGGGTAGCCTCGAAAAACGACAGCCCCATTGAAACTTCCATTCCCTGCAGCACGGACATATTTTAGCAGCGCCTTAGGTATTTCCTCACCACGAGCAACGTGGGCGTGCTGTATGACATGATGGACAACCCTTTGCGCCTTGGAGCCCACAAGTCGGTCTAGGGTGAAGCTTTCAATGGAGGACCCGACCCCTCCATTAGACACCCCGGAGGTGGTTGGGGGTCTCAAAACCAAGTTGTTTGAAGGCCCTAAATCAATCTGGAGCCTCTGGGTGGCAGGACTACTTTGGTTTTACGCCGACACAACCCCGGACACACACCGAGGAAAACATATTGAAGGGAAGTCTAGGTGCTGTACAATTCCAGGGATTGAAACGAACGCCCCCTTAGCATGCTCTGCTTCAGACAGCATTCATTTGCCAGGCTGCTCAGTCGGATTGTTCGATGTCTGGCTTCTCCCATGGCAACCAGAAGTAAGATCGTAACAGAATAAGCTGTTTGGTCAGTTTGAGCAATAGGCTGCGCTGGGCTACGTAGAGGTCTCGCGCGCTGGGGCGGGGAAATGAAAGAGGGCGAGTAAGAGACCGAGAGAAGCGTTGGCCAGGTGTGCTCAGTGTTTTGTTGAAGCAACTTCAACAGTAACAGCTCGCCATGGGGTTGCATATCCAGCTAAAACTGCTGTAGTGCAAATCCTGCATTGCCTGCAATGAAGACAAAAATGCATTCGGGCATTGAGTGCAGTGCTTGGTCATTGAACGGCTCGTTCAGAAGGCTCGTGTCAGTCGCATTGTCCCCTCTTTGAAGACGACAATTAAGAGTAAGCACAACAGGCCAACAAATAGAATAATTGACTGTTATCGCGGACAATGCATTTCTGTGTTTGTGTGTGTGCGTTTTCCCCTGGTGTGTGGGTGTGCTGAACAAGTTGAAAGCCGCCTCGCGTTGAGTAGGTCCATCGCTGCTAGCCATTTGCTTCAAGGCAGCCATCGGCTTCGCATCGCAGGGGCCTTTTGTTTCAGGCCCAACCGCTTTGAAGCAATGGGAGGCGGGTGGGCCAAAACTGTTGTGCCCAAAGTGGCCGCTGTGTTTTTAAAGTTCGGGGACCCCCCCACCAATAACATGATATCGTTTTCCTTTTGGCTTTCCCACCAAAGAGGTTGGTCGCCTCAACAAAATCGAGTCGCCAGACCCATGGCGCCATCATGGTGCTGTGGTCCCCAAATTCCATGCTGTTTAGGTTTTGGGGAGTCATTTTCCCGTATGTGCTTTGTTGTTCCTGTTTGGCACCCTTGTCCAAGCCGCATGTTGTGTGTTCCTACTTGACTGGGGTTGGATCTTTAGACTTTATCTTTTGGGAACTAAAGGTGTTTTCCACTACACCCCCAAAAAGTGAAACACTTTTTGCAGGGGGGTCAGCAGCAAGTATATAGCTTGTCTAAACGCAGTGCTAGGAGCCAGCTCCTTCATGGCGTTGCTGGCCATCTCTGGCTTCCTGGGCGCCACCTGGACCGCCTCGAAACTCTCCCAGGCCGTGGGCGTCTCGGACATCGTGCTGGTCATCGTCACCGGGGTGCTGCTGGGGCCCGAGGCGCAGCCGGCGAGCCGGGGCCGAGGAAGTCTGGTTCTGTGTGCACTCCATGGTTTCGTGGAGGTTGAGAGTATCTTCACCTTAGCCATGTTTTTGACTGGAGCGGTGAATAGGCATGCATTCTCAATTGGGAAGATCCATGCAGGTCCTTGAGCTCCGGCTTGCCAAGGACGCCTGTTGTAGGAATGAAATGCTCAGTTCTTTTTTAGAAGCATGCCTCTTCCAGCAAAATACAGGAAGTGAATGAATCAACTGGAACTGTAACGCATCAGGTAGAGTCAACAAATAATCTGGAACAGTGACGTGTCAAGTATTGGAAGTGCGTGTTGAACAACATAGCTATCAAATGGCTTGCGATAACCAAAAGTAAAGGACGATACAAATGAGATGGAGAAGTAGAAAGAAATGTCAGAGATATATGGCTCATTAAGAATCCATGGAAAAAAAGAGAACCGATAATGGGACATAGACATGCTTATGAGCGAGCAGCACATTAACATTTATTCAGCAATCGAATTATAAAGAACTAGAACACTTATATAAAGGACATCCAGAAGTTGTTTCCAGATGCTTCTTTTTTCCTGTTTGTCTCTCTTTGAGTCGTCCTTAGGCATCAGATCACTCCATTGTAAATACATAAATATTGCAGATTAGAAACTGAAGGCTAACTCAAATGTAAATGGCCTTTATAGAAGGAACTTGAGAAACAGAGAAAACCAAGAGGGTGATTCATATTAGTTAGTTCTTTAGGTGTCTTTCTGCCTTGCAATTCTCTCCGTTCTATAATTTGTTGACATCGCAATTATAGCCATATCTTCCTTACCTATTTGTAACTCTGGAATGACTTTTGTTTTTAATCTTTAGTACTGTCAGGGAACTTGTAAAGAGATTAAAGAGGATCCTATGCACAGATCCTATCAGCAGCGCAGATCTTGCCAAGGGATCCCATCGTGAGACCTCGCAGAGATCCTGTAAGACTCCTCCCAACGATACCTCGCGCTGGTCCTTCATGGAGACCCTCTTGGTCTCGTGCGGGACCAGCAAAGACCCACCTTCAATAGGCTTTCCACCGAATGCCCTTTTACAGATCTTGCACAGAGGGCTTCTAGAATCCTATGCAGCGATTCTTGTGCGCCAAAACTGTGTAACTTTCTTTTTCTGTTCGCGCTGTTTTTTTTTCTGTTCGCGCTGCTTTTTTTGGTTCGCGCAGATGGGCGGCCTCATCAGCACGGAGTACTCTCAGTGCTCCCACGCCCGGCACGCCAAGGAGTGCAACATGGATGATTCTGGCGTCCTCACGGACCACCTGAAGGCGATCCAGGACACGTGCCAAAAAGAACGCCGTGTCCCAATTGGGTTGTGAACGCCTTCCACTAGGATATGGAACCAGTTCTGCTTTTTCCAGCAGTTTTCCGCAAGTAGCTTTTTTGTTAGCCCCGTGTCCCTTCGCACGTCTGAAAAAAAATGCCCTGTGCCCGGGGGGGCCTCTTCCTTTATCGTCGTTTCCTTCCCAAGAGACAGTTGTCCCTTCACATTTCGCTTTGGTGTTTTGTGCTCAGGCGGATTTCAACAAAAGTAAGAGTGGACCGGTGGTTTCCTTTGGTTTTTCGGGAAGGCGCGTTTGGGTTTTCCCTGGTGGCTGGAGATGGTCCACGCCATGGTTTTGTTCAAAGGGTTCCTGTGGCCTTTGTTCCGAAGAGGTGTTTGAGGGCGCAGGAGCGGCCATGGTTCCCAAATTTGGAGCCCCAACTGGCGTTGCTTTGGGTTCCTAAAATCCTTTGCTTTGACGACCTCAAGATTGGTGTCCTGGGCACGCCCGTTTTGGTTTGGGGGGCTGCCACTTGGTCGGTTGTTTTGCATGTTGTGTTCAGGGTTCTTCAAGCTGCTTTCTGTTTTAGTGAACGGTTTTCTCCAGATAAAACGCTTGGTTTCTGCGTGTTTGTGTGTGTTTGTGTGTTGTCCGTGGTTCCCCTGGTGGCTCAGTGCCTCCCACTTCGTTAGTTGTTTCCCCAATCGTGCCGCGAGCAGTTGCCCACTTCTTCGCTGGGCCTCCGTTTGCCGATTCCCGAGGAACACGGCATCTGTCACCCAGACGACTACTCGGGCAACGAGTCGCACCGCCGCCTGGCAGGCGGCAGCTATGCCAGTTTCGAGGAGTGTTTGCAGAAGAGCTGCCACGCAGAGATCAGCCACGGGTGCCAGCTGACTCCCGACGTCTTCACCCTCTTCGGCCATGCTGGGGTGGCGCTCATGATCTTCGAGAGCGGCATGCACTTCGACTTCCAGAAAGCAAAGGTGGGAGGGGGTGACGAGAACTTCGCACCTTTTGCGTAAGTGTCTGTTGCGGAAATCTAGCGCAAGGCCTCTGTTTCGGGACAAAAACGCCGTGAGGTGGTCGGCGTGAAAGCCAGCATCGTGGCCGTGCTGGGGACCTTCTTGCCGCTGGTGGCCGGAACTCTCATCACCATGGCCTTCGGCAAGCCCTTCTTCCCCGATGGCGTCGCAGCTGGCACGGCTTTGGCTCCCACCAGCGTGGGCATCGCGCTGCGCTTGTTGGGAGAGGCCGGCGTGCTGAAGGAGAACTTTGGGCAGGCAATCATCACCGCTGCATTTGTGGATGACATCCTGTCCTTGGTGCTCTTCAACATCCTTTTCTCTCTTGGTGGCGAGTTCGACATCGTTGCAGTGGTGGTCAACCCCGTGGTCGGCGTCGTCTTGATGATTATTGGCATGCTTTTGGCAGTGTTCTTCTGGCCGAAGTTCATCAATGGCTGGCTGCTGCCAAAGATACCCGTCAAGGAAGGTGCCAAGGTCGCCCGCACCGACGAGGCGTTGTTCCTGCTGATGTTTGTCATTCTGTTTGCTTATGCGGCTACAACCCATTTCCTAGGCACACACTTGTGGGGCTGCTTCATCGCCGGCATGACCTTTGCGACTCTGGAACCGAAGCATCACGCTCATCATGTTTGGCTGAGGCAAACCAAGCGGACGACTTCTTGGCTGATTCGGATCTTCTTCGCCAGCACCGTCGCCTTCTCGATCCCCATCTCTCAGCTGGTCTCCCTCGATGCGGTGTGGAAGGCGGGGGAAAGACGAAGGTTTCTGAAACGAGAACAAGCCAGAAGGGGCACAACAGCTAGCTTGCAGCAAATTGTGTGCCACACAGCCCCGTTGAAGCATGAAACCAGCCCGAAAGACTAAGATGGTTTGGTGGATTGGTTGTGGGTCTGTTGTCTTTTGTCCAGGGCTCCATCATGGGCATCGTCGCCTGCATCCTCACCAAAGTCTGCTGCGCACCCTTCATGGGAGATGCCCGGTGGGTCATTGGCTGGGCCATGGTTGGCCGAGCTGAGTTTGCGTACTTGATCGCCCAGATGGCTGCAGCTGCCAACATGCTGGATGAGGAGATGTTCTCCATCGTGATTTGGGCCCTGCTCTGGGCCACCGTCTTTGCCCCCTTCGTCTTCCGCCACGTGCTCAACAAGTATGTGAAAACCCACGGCCTGGAGGACAAGGGCCCCGACGCCTCCTTCTTTGAGAGCGCCTCCTGCGAGCAATTCCAGGCCTACGACTTGGAAGGCTCAAAGGAGGCGGCCGAAGAGGCCGAAGAGGCCGAAGAGGACGAAGGGGCCGACCCCGTGGCGCAAAAATCCGATGGCTTGAGTGATCGGCAGACAAGCCTGGGGACAAGCATGGGGATGAGTGAGAGGCAGACCAGTGCCGCATCCACAAACAAAGCGGCATTGTGATGCCATACTTTTAAATTCCGGCAAGGCATTGCTGACATGAGGGTGGCAGGTTTTGCTTTGAGGGTTTCGACTGCTAAGCGCTCGAAACCACTGCACTGAGCTTTTTTGATGCCTGTCCACTGTTTCTTATGAGCTTAATAGCTTGCGTTTCATGGCTTGGTCCCATTCTTAATAGTCTATTGAGATCTGTTCTGTGGCTCGATGCGTTCCAGCAAGAGATCTAGGCTTGCTGTTGCAATCTCTGCCAGAGCTGTGTGTTTGTTGAGCGGGCTGGACATCGAGCCACCCCACGGCCCTGCGATGCAAAGCATCTTGCGCTGCCTGTTTCCAGAAAGCTTTAAAGCAGCTTGGCAGCTGTGGCCATGTAGCCTTGAGTTCGAGTCGAAGACCAAGCACAAGCAAAGGTTCTGCTGCAGTGCTCTTGCTTGCACTTTCGCGCGACGTACAAGGATATTTACGAGAGGGGGCAGCAGCCAAGAGAGAATCAGCAATGTTGAGTGGCGAGTGGCTGGAAAGTTAAGTGGGGACCTATCCCATACACCAGCGAATTTTTGTGTTCACCCAATTCAGTGTCCAGATACCCTGAGATGAGCCTGCTTTAGTTGGTGGATGTTGGTGGCTCAAGACCAATCCTTTTAATTCTCCTGTGTGGTTTCCCTTTTTTTGAAGGGGTTGCCGATTGGGAGTATTGGGGAGCCCAAACCATTTGCACAACCCAGCTTAGGACCCCCTCGCGCAGGACCTTTCCATGACGACACCCAAACAAACTCTACTCTGGCAAGCTAGCTACATGGTTGAGGCCCTTGTGAACCACTTGAGCCTTTAGGCCTGAAGAGAGCCCATAGCCAGCTCGTGACTGGCCTATGTCATGTGACCCAGGTGGCGCATTCGCCACGCGACTCATTCCCCTCTAATTGCAAACAAGCTCCTTGAGTGTTCCAGAGTTGCGGCAACCCATTTTAGAGGGGAGCCTTCACCTTTGGGGGGAGCTCCTTTTGAATTGTTAAGTTGATTCATCCAGGGTCAGCATTGTGTGAGGGCGGGTCGGGTTCCCAGATTCCTCGCACGGCGTACAGTCTGATTGTTCTTTTGCCCCGCCCAGACTGCCCCCTTCAGACTGCCCCCTTCAGACTGCCCCCTTCAGACTGCCCCCCTCACCTCAGCGCGGCCTCGTAGTCAGTCTTTTTCAGGCCTAGAACCCATGTTTTCGAACCCATATAGGGTCACTCAATTTATGCAAGTCCTTGCGCAAGAGGGTTGCATTGCGCAAGAGGGTTGCATTGCGCAAGAGGGTTGCATTGCATTGCGTTCTGTCAGTGAATGTCAGAGACGCAATCAACACCTGAGTACACTGCAGATTCACATGGAGCAACCTGTCCGTAGAGGAATCTTTGTCGTTTTGGGCTGCCATATCGATTTGCGCGGGAGTGGTTCACAAAGTATGGACCAGCATCAAACACTGTTTGCTTGGTTTGGGCAAAAACTGAGGTAGGATTCGTTGCTTTCTCTTCAAGCTCGGAAAATGTATGTCTATGCCATCTTTGTCCGTGCATGTGAGGAAACAGTCCATTTTGTTTGGAAATGCATGGTCCTTAGTTCTTCGACCTTTTCGGCTGCAATGACTTCATCAGGTTCGATCAAAGTTCTGGTAGTCTTGGATCCTTTTGCAGGGACATGGGGCGAATTTATTGAAGCCACGGAACGAGCCCCAATTGTCCCATGCCTGCGGACGACCAAATAATTGTGCATGACACATGTGACTCATGAGTAAGCATGGTTCTAAAGAATGAGACAACCCCCTTCTGAGTGTCGGGCCGATGCTCTTTTGCTTAGGCCCATGTTGGACACCAACACCTCTGGCCCCTGGAGGCATCAGCAGGGGTGCTGGGTTGGCCGGGGGCCAGTTCTGGGGTCCCTGAAGCATATTTTACATGTTCGGATAAACCAAATATATGGCTGTGGTTGTCAAAACCAATGGTACCGTTTTGGGGTAGGTGAATTCACCACCCATTTATAGTCTATTTTAGTGGGGATCGGGATGTTCACCGAAGGTACGGGATTTTGACCCATAGCCATATGAAAAAGAGTCAGAAGATATGATTTTGTCAGTACCCCAGACGCGGGCCATTTAAGTTTGGGGTCCCCAAAAATGGTGAATTCTCGAGGTACTAAACTTGTTTCTGCCAGGGTCAAAAGCAACCGGTCGAAGGTGTCGGTTGTTTCTGACTCGGTTGCTCGTTTGTTTCTCAAAATAGAGTTTTCCAAAATGATTGGTGTCATCCCGTTCAATACCCACCAAAAAAAGGGTCTCCCAAATGGCCTTGAATCGTTTGGAGAATGACAAGTCTCCCCTGGCGAACAGTTTTGACGTTTTTTCCAGGGAGAACAACCTATGGCTCGGACTCGTTTTGACTCCAAAGCGGACAATTGGATGACTTCCAAAAGAACACGACGCATGGCGCAGGTGAAAAGAAACTCGGGTTGCCCCTCCAAATGGCAACGAGTCCCTTAAATCCAAAGGCAACGGGTCCAGTGGTTGTCGTTGTCCTTGTAAACCATTGATCAATATCTTTCCTCAAAATGTGTGACACATGCCTAATTGGGGATTTGCTTGCCATGCAAAGGACTTGGGCGCGTGCTTTGACTTCGTGTCATTTCTGCCTTTTCAGAAACAAATAATTAACAGCTTTGACGCTGTAAGAGGAACGACCCAGTGCCAGCTAAGTAGCAGCAGACAAAAACGAATAGGAGACCTGCAAGACTTGAAATGGACTTCTCCGCCTACACCCCTGCAATTTAACTTGGAACCCGGGCCCCCAAAAGGAGATTCCCCTGAAATCGATGGCTTGTCAGGTTACAATATGTTGACCAGAGGAGCACCCAGCCATGGTGCCACCGACCCAGCGCGTTTCCTAGTGGTCGCGCTGTGTGCGCCCAGGTTCGAGGTCAATGAGAACGTCACGCGGGCGCCAGAGGCGGGGAGGGAGGCAAGCGCCGCCGGCTTAGGGCAACAAAAGCAGGTCCTTGACTATGCCTTTTGGCCATTTCAGGCAGCTTCTACCTGGTCTCATGGGTTTATAGCAGTAGTTTTATAATCTTGGAACCCAAAGTCAATGGGTTGTGGGGACTTCTTACGTGCACCAGCTTTCAGCCTCATGCCGCTCCCGTTCGTTCTGCCATGGAGTCCGCCATGGTCCTGGCCCATAACTTTGTACTCGGCGCCGCCTTGTTCAGTAGTCTATGATCATGACAAACTCTCTATAAATCCTGAATCCTGCCACGAAAACCAGTGGACTCTCTATTTATCTTATGTCATATGTCACAAGGGTAAAAGCATGTGTGGCCTGTGTGGTCCGTGGCTCACATCTTTTAGTGAGTCCTGATGCCCCTTTCGCTGGTTGTGTGCTGTCCAAACCCTTGCCAAAGGGTCTTACTATACCCACCAGTGACTCCAATTACCTACATAGCGGACAACCAAGGGAACCACCCGGGAAAAAATGGAAAACAAACAGAAAGGAAGGACGATAGCTGGTTACCGATGCGATCGACTGGGATTTGTTGTCTTACTGGTCTTGACATGCAACGAATGCCCTTCATTTCAGCAGGTCCGCTGTGACACGGAACCTGAACAAGTTCCCTTCGCAAAGAAGCAGAAAGGAACCTTCTTGTGGATCCCAAACCCTGGGCAATTGAAGGTTCCGGGGGATATTCCAAGCCAAAGCTCGAAGCCGTCGCCCATGGAATTTCCCTTCTTGGGTTAAAGGGGTCTCAGCTGCCACATTCTTGAAAGGCTGATTGTGTGCGTCGTGAACCCGTGGCCACTTTGGAGCCCTGGTTGCCCATACTTTCTTCGGATGTAAACGCAGCTTTCATTTTGCGGCGATACCGCGACACCCCAACCAAGCCAACGTTTAGCATGAGAATCTCCTTGTGAAGTTGTGGAGCCCTCTTCGTACTTGCACTGCTGGGCTTAGTGCCGGTTCTCTCTGGTGTCCCACCCCCAAACACACCACTCTCCAATTCCCCCAGGTAGTGAACCTTTGAACAGGGGGCAATAATAGCCACCTGTTGCTCTGCCGTAGATCCTGCGAGTGAACTATGCCATCAATATGTCCGACACGGCCGGGCGCTCTGCGAGTGGTGCATGGGTTGAGCAGGGGCTCCCTTGTTGAAAGGATCAAACATAGCAGTTTCATGGCCATGTAAGAGAAGGCGTCTATTAAATGCCGCAATGATTGAATGGTAAATGCTATACCTCCTATCCGAATCTCACCAGTTCTCAATGCCATCGTTTTTGCCATCAAAGTCACCCCCTAAGCGGTAGGTGTGAAGGGAGCCACTTGTTGCCGTCCCAATTCGTAGCAGATCCCAGGCGGAGGTCTTCGGATACGTCTACTTCACCCAGCGCGTCTTTCAGAATGGCTCCGTGCGGGCGCTGAGAGACGGCCAGCGTTTGGGATAAAAACCGGATTCCAGGTTTCTTCATCCAAAGATCTGTGGGGTTCGCCAACAGTTCCCCCTTTTTTTGGAGCACGTTTTAGACAGAACTCCTCCAGATTTGTTCATCACAGACCTCCGGTGGGGTTCGCCCATTTGCCCAAGTTTTTGGGATCAGGCTTCCCTTCAAAAAACCAATCCTGAGGCTCCCCACGGACTTTTTGGGCCATCAGGGGCAGCTTTCAAGGGCTGAGTCGGATGCACTGCTCACGTGGAACCTGAACGTCTCCTTTCGGGGGGAAGATTATTGTTTGGCTTGCTGCTCAGGGAATGAACCTTATAAACCATCCGTTGTGGTTTCCTTCAAGGGGACCTGGATTAGTTTCCCCCCTTCCCCACTGAGCAAGTCTTTGGACGCCCAGTTCCCTGGCACGGTGCGGCGCGCGGACTCCCGGGAGATCATGATCCACGCCGCTCGGACGCCTTAGCGCGGCGCGGCGAGAGGATGCCACCGGAAGGCGAAGGTGTTGCAAGCTGCTTGGAACCCAGGGAACTCTGGGGCTTGTGTTTTTTCAATCCGCTCAAGGAGGGGGACGTGTCCACTGTCAACGAGGAACATCAGGGTATGATTGTTTCTGGAGGTACTTCAGGATAGAGCAAGTTGCTTGCTTGAGGCTCTGGTGAATATATCTACGGACATGGTGGACCAATTTACTTCATTTTGTTTGGCCTGCGCGAGCAAACCAATGTGATGCACGAGCCGAGTGTCACTTGTCACTCAACCCCTGCAGGTATCTAAGAATCTAATAAGTGGACAGGTTGCACCTTACGCCCGGGAAGAAGAACTGTTGCAGAAGGACCACCAAACCGCAACGAACCAACAGCGAATCAACTTGCGACTGCCCCAACGAGCGATGCTAACCTGCTAGGATTCCCCTTTTTCGTTGCGCAGAAGCCCTCTTTTCCTAGCAACTGGGTGCACGTGCAATCCCTCTGCCCTTCTTGGGACTTGTGCGCGCCCTGCATTTTCCTCCAAAAGGAGGGTCAACGGGCAAACCCCCCCCCGAAAAGACGCCTTGCGTTTTTGAAGGGCATGATAACACTTTACTTGTTGTATTACCATGGAAAGCTGGGACAAAAAATACCTATGCCACCAGCGCCCAGCAATGGCTGCCTAAATTGCCCAAGGGGATTTCCACGTAACCAACCACTTGATAGCTGGAAATCCTTGTAAGCACCCACTTTTTGCAGGGGTATGGTTTGTTGGATCCTCATGTGGAGGGTTCCAGGTTTGTAAACTGTGATTCACCCTGTGATTTTGGCTTTGCATTTGTTGGGGCTCATTCAGCAATGTCTACGTTTTGCGGCTTCCCTCCCCCCTCCCCCACAGAAGAGAAACGGAAAAAAAGTCCCATCGGTTTCCCTTTCCCTCCACCAACGCCAAAAATAATCTTCCCAACAAGGGCACCAACCGGGGTCGGTCGCTAGGACTGCGGCACGGACTTCGACTGTGCGCAGGCTGAGGCATCGAATTCAGCGGGGTGATGATGGCAGATGTGGCTGTGGCTCAACAAAAATGTACGGCTGAGCGTTATGTTAAGAAATGTTGTATTCTTAGGCAGGGGCTCGGGAATTTCTTACGGAGGGTCCTCGGTAAGAAATCTATATTTTGTTCAGGGTCTAGATTTAAGAAACGGGCGCCCGTGAAGTGCCTGCGCCGGGCTGCTGCGGCTGCGGCACAAGCTCTTCACGGCCACGCAGGCCGGGCAGACGGGACGCGCTCGTCGCAGCCACGAGGTTTCGAATCTGGGCCCGTTGGACCCCTCAAACCCCTCCGCTCTTTCCAGATAGTTCCTGAGCGCTTACGGTCATGCTGTGTGATAAGAAATCCCTTTTCACTGTCGAGAGTCTCGCAAATTTCCAAACCCTGCGGTGGAATGAAGAAATGTGAGGTTTTCTGAGACTCTGGGAGGTAAATTTTGTGGGGGTCTTAGCTTCGTATTGCAGATTTAGAGGGAACCACTTATAGTAGCCAAAAACGAGGTCTGAGCCCAGTCTGAAACCAGTCTGAAATCAGTTCATTGGGGGGCGTGGGGGAGGGTGGTCATCCGGCCAATTGTTGTGCTTCTGCCATAGTGGTTGGCCACAGTGTATTTCTGTATGCGTGTGTGTCTGGGACAGAGAAGCTGTGTGGCCTACATGCAGTTTTTTGGCTGAGGGATCCCAGAGAGCTAAAGGCATTCCTCTTTCGCATGGCAGTGTTGCGGTGTGCTGCCAGCTCAAGTTTCAGATGATCCAGACCACGCTCTTCGGTGGCCGATCTGCGTGCGCGCAGCCCTGGCAGTGCGATCTTTGCAGAGGTGGTTTCAAGTCAGAGCAGGCCTTGATCAGCCATGCCTGGTGGAAGCACGGGGTTCGCAAGGAGCCTGCGCGCGCGCTGCCACAGCGCCCCGGCGCGCTGATCCAGAGCTTCTTTGCAGAAGAAGTGCAAGAGCAAGACTTGCCCGAGCAGTTCGAACACTTGATTTCCTTCGAGCATGCTGAAGAAGCCAATCTGCCTGAGCTTCTTGAAGAGGAGGCGGCGGAGGAGGATGAGCCGCTGGAGACACCGAAGAAGCGCACCAAGACGGGCGCCATCAAGCAGACGCGTGGCGCAAACAGGACTTAGTGGGAGCGATTTGGCGAGCCTTGTTTGTTCAAGTTCGTTGCAGTCCCTGCTGATTGCCCTGCCCTGAGGAGACAGCGCGTTTCAGCCAAGCAGCAAGTGGATGCAGTCGACACCTGGCGGGCTTGCAAGCTGAGCGGCACGCCACCCAAAGACAAGAAGGGAAATGCCACTGGCACACAGTATTCGTACAACACTGTGTACGGGTGGTCTCGCAACTACGACAAGCTGGTCGAGCAGGCTGCCAAGGGAACTGCGACCAAGTTGGCTCGAACCCGCAGGGGCTGGTTCAGGCAGAACCCCTTGGTGCAGGAATTTGACCAGCACCTTTGCAGAGCTCTGAAAAAGCATCGCAAAGCTGGCCGCCCAGCGAATTCCGTCACTGTTCTCGCCATGGCTGAGAGCATATACGACAAGGTGGACAAGACAAGAGAAGGAAGGAACCTGCAGTGGCCGCGGAACAGGCGCGGGAAATTGTGGTTGAGCAGCCTTGTCTTGGCTGAAGGGAATCCAGTCATGCATGGCTAGCACATGGTCCAACTAATTCAATTATGTTTGTTGCTCTCTTGCAACTATGTTTGGTCCACTGGCCCCGCTGAACATGCTAGGGTTGTATTGGGGCTGGAAGACATTTTGGCTGCCAGGAGGGGCGGTGAAGTGTGGAGGCCCAAGATGACCTGGGTTAAGTCCTGGCTGCAGGTCCGTGGCTGGAAGCCGCGAAAGCCGACGAAGAAGAGAGGCTCAACGCCCGCACAGGACAGTGCCCTCATGCAGCGCTGGCTGGACAAGCTGCGGCACATGGCTCAGAAGCAGCCTAGCTGCGGTGACAACACCTGGTCAGACGCATGGGGGTTCTTTTCGCCTGGGGAGCGGTTCAACAGAGACCAAGTCGGGTTCAGTTTTGACTACACTGCGGCAGGGCGCACGTGGGCCAGCCCTGAGGAGCGGACCACCGGCTGCGTTCAAGTTGTGACCGGCAAGGCCGGATGGGAGAAGAGGTTTTTCACATGGGACATGTGCTACGCGGGAGATTTGAAGCAGGCGCAGCCGCCCCCGGTGCTTTATTTCTTCGGAGCCGGCAACATTTCACAGCTTGAGCGGGCCTCTTACGACAAGGATGTGAAAGTCTTCTTCACGCCAAAGGGCTATCTCAATGAAGATGCAAACCAGTTTTGGACGCAGTGCTGGAAGGAGCATGTTTCAGCCAACCACGCGGGCAAAGCGGTACTGCTGACTTGCGACAATGTCGCCGCACACTGCACCCACGCATGGCGGGAGGAGATGGCCAAAATCGGCACTACGGTCTTGCATGGGGAGCCCAACGGGACGCATTGTTGGCAGGCCATCGACCGGCATATTGGCAAGACCCACAAGGACCTGTTCCACCAGATGCAGCTTCACAGATCTTTGGAGGACTTCAAGTCCTTCCAGCACCTGTCTGCCAAGGACCGGCGGATTTGGTGCACGCATTGGGTGGGCGATCTGTGGAGACATTATTGCCATGAAAAGGCTGCAGCTCACGCAAACTGCTGCCAATGCAGCGGGCTATTGATCAGACTGGACGGCGTTGGGGATGACCGCGTCACTGTGGAGAGCAATCCAGTCTTTGCTGTTCAGCCATACCAGTGCTGGGAAGGCAGGGAGGTGCCAAATTTGAATAGAAAAAGAACTCAATGTCTCGAAACTAAGCCGTGTTGCTGGTGGGTTAGCAGGGTCGCATGTACGGTCACTTTGAAGCTTTGACTGTGTCAGCAGTGACTCTCTGCAGCTTGCAACAAGAAGCTGACGGGATCTAGCCTGAATTGCTTGGCCATGTCTAAAACACGGCATGCTTGCACCAGGCCTCGAGGAGAGCATCCAAAAGAGCTGGCAAGCGCCTGCGCCCTTCGAAGAAGACGCATCCGGGTCAGACTCAGACTCATCCTCATCCACATCCAGCACTTCCTCCAGCGACAGCGCTGACAGCTGCGCAAGCCAAGCAGTTGCGCACGCAGTGGCGCACGCAGCGGCGCACGAAGCAGGCCTGGCTCATGACAAAGTAGGTAGGAGTGGCAGCCAATGGGCAGCTTGACAGGGTTACATGGCAGTTTCTGCACAGGCAAATCCGCCACGTAATTTGATCTGTGTTCTTAATCTTGGGGATCCGGCAAGGTGACGCTTCTCCCGAGCCAGATGGACCTGAGAGCGCGCAGCCTGGTCCCCCGGCTGGTTCATCAACTGAGCCCCAGCCTGCAGCTGGCTCAGGCAGCACGGCTTGGCCAGGTGTTGGAGCGGCCCTGACCCGGTTTGACATTCACATGCTCCTCAAGCACGCAGCAAAGAGACACAAGCTGCAGGCAGGCGTTCGGATGCTTGCCGCTCATGCGAAGCATGGAGTGAAGCTCGATCATCCAAAGGCTCTTGCTGGCAAGACAGTGCCCTGGGATGAGCTCAGGCACTGCTGCAGCGAGCTGAAAGTGGAGCTGCCATCCAAAGAAGACATCTAGGTCTGGACACTGCTCAGATGTTGAAGCCAAAACAAGGAGCGTGAGTGATGACCGAGGGAGGCATCTGGCTCTGGGACCGGGGATCCGAAAGCCTGCCATGAGGGCTCAGGGGGACCCAACAGCACCAACTCACTCAAGGCCTAGATCAGACCCTTGTCAGACTTGTTTCAGAGGCCCCATAAACCGTTTTGGGCTTAGACTTGCTGGGGCCCTCCAACAGGTTCTGAAGAGTGGGTTCGTCTCAGAAACATTCGAGATGTTTGTCCTGCGGGGCAGATGAGACATCTGCCTCTGCTGGCTGGGGTGGGTGGCATTGTGACAGCAATCATAGATGGGGGCGCTCCTGATTGCGCTTACTGCAATGCGGCGAGCGGTAGCCGGCAAAAAAAGCAATTGCGCAGCCATCAGTTCTGGAGCGGCGATGTGCAACCTTTCTTCTGGGAGCTTGAGACTCCATTTTCTTTGGTTGGTAACCCTGCCTGAAGACTCATCGCGGGTGGTTTTGCAAGCCTTCCCCCCTTTTTGCTCTTTCAATGGGGCCACGGATCAGTTACCAGATGTTCCCACTCCTTGTTTACCATATCGACGGGGCAACGGATCAGTTGCCAGATGTTCCCACCCCTTTTTACCATACCGATGGGGCCACGGATGAGTTGCCAGATGTTCCCTCCCTTTTTGCTATACCGATGGGGCCACGGATCAGTTGCCAGATGTTTTATGTACCAAGTTGGCGGGATGCAGCCCAAAACGGACCTTCGCTCACTGCCGGGGTAATTTCAGACAAGCAGCGCGGACTTCTTTTGGCAGCTAGCATTCGGATGTTTTCTTTCAGCAGGCCTAGAGGCCTGGTGTGTGTGTGTGGTTCAGGCATGTTTCAGACTAGTTTCCCAGGTGTTTCTCAAACTCATTTATTTACGGTGTGGAACAAAAGCCCTCTGCCCTGAAACAATGCGGATTTTTCGCGGATCCCTCAAGGGCACGGGACAGATAGGGGACTACGTGTGTTTGGCAGCCTGAAACTACTTGGGAAAGTAATGCTTGGGTAGATGCAGCAAGTGGCTCGGTCTTCCAGTTGCGTATGATTGCTGGCAGGTTATCTCGGGTATGTATCTTGAATTCTCGTGTTTTTGCGCGACACGAAGTCAATGACTCTGTTCTCTGGTTAGTCGGGGTCTAGTTGAGACAAGCGTAATATGATCATGCTGGCCGCAATGGCTCACCGGGCGGAACCTTGAGTTTTTGATGGATTTCAGCAGATTTCGCCCAGCCCCATGGATGTCTGTGTTCAGGGAATAGCTGAACGGCGCCACAGGTCGAGGCATCCATTCTGCGTCTGACGTCGCTGCTCGGGCGCCCAACATCTGGGCAGAGATCAGCAAGGGGGTGGTTGGCCTTCGGCGGAGGTTCATTTGCAAGTAGTGTGGGAACCTTTCTTCTGGGATCGGAGCTTGAGATTCCATTTTTTTGGTGTTTGGGGACCCCCCTGAAATTGTCTGAAGCCCTGCCTGAAACTCACCGCGGGTGTTTTTGCAAGCCTTCCCCCCTTTTTTGCCATTTCGATGGGGCCCACGGATCAGTTACAGGATGTTCCCACTCCTTGTTTACCATATCGACGGGGCAACGGATCAGTTGCCAGATGTTCCCACCCCCTTTTTACCATACCGATGGGGCCACGGATGAGTTGCCAGATGCTCCCTCCCTTTTTGCTATGCCGATGGGGCCACGGATCAGTTGCCAGATGTTTTATGTACCAAGTTGGCGGGATGCAGCCCAAAACGGACCTTCGCTCACTGCCGGGGTAATTTCAGACAAGCAGCGCGGACTTCTGATTGGAGCTAGCATTCGGATGTTTTCTTTCAGCAGGCCTAGAGGCCTGGTGTGTGTGTGTGTGGCTCAGGCATGTTTCAGACTGGTTTCCCACAAACTCATTTATTTACGGTGTGGAACAAAAGCCCTCTGCCCTGAAACAATGCGGATTTTTCGCGGATCCCTCAAGGGCACGGGACAGATAGGGGACTACGTGTGTTTGGCAGCCTGAAACTACTTGGGAAAGTAATGCTTGGGTCGATGCAGCAAGTGGCTCGGTCTTCCAGTTGCGTATGGTTGCTGGCAGGTTCTCTCGGGTATGTATCTTGAACTCTCGTGTTTTTGCGCGACACGAAGTCAATGACTCTGTTCTCTGGTTAGTCGGGGTCTAGTTGAGACAAGCGTAATATGATCATGCTGGCCGCAATGGCTCACCGGGCGGAACCTTGAGTTTTTGATGGATTTCAGCAGATTTCGCCCAGCCCCATCTGTGTTCAGGGAATAGCTGAACGGCGCCACAGGTCGAGGCATCCATTCTGCGTCTGACGTCGCTGCTCGGGCGCCCAACATCTGGGCGGAGATCAGCAAGGGCGTGGTTGGCCTTCGGCGGAGGTTCATTTGCAAGTAGTGTGGGAACCTTTCTTCTGGGATCGGAGCTTGAGATTCCATTTTTTTTGGTGGTTGGGGACCCCCCTGAAACCCTCTGAAGCCCTGCCTGAAACTCACCGCGGGTGTTTTTGCAAGCCTTCCCCCCTTTTTTGCCATTTCGATGGGGCCCACGGATCAGTTACAGGATGTTCCCACTCCTTGTTTTCGGAAGGGCTCTTTCTGCGTGGTTTGGTCTCTCGCTTTTCTTCTAGGGGCCTTAAGCAAATGGAGTGTATGCCTGCTAAAGAGCAATGCGTGCGGACGAAGTGCTCGTACGCCCAAGAGAAGTCAGCAGATTGGTCGGCGTGTGCGTGTCTCGAAACATGATGCCCAGAACTCAAAGAGTGGGGGTTCCGTTGTTTCTTTTGTTTTTGTGTTTGTTTTGTTTTTGTCTTTGTTGGTTCCACCTTTTCCTTTTTTCCTCCCTCCACCCTCAGGTGGGCGTTGGGAGGGCCCGGTGTTCCCTGTTCCCCTTCCCCCCCTTTTCCCTCCTTCCGCCCTTGGGTTTCCCTCCTTCCGCCCTCAGGTGGGCGTTGGGAGGGCCCGGTGTTTCCTGTTTCCCCTTTCCCTTTTCGCTTTTTCCCTCCTTCCGCCCTCAGGTGGGCGTTGGGGCCCGTTGTTTCCTCCCCCTTTTCGCTTTTCCCTTCCGCCCTCAGATGCGTTGTTTCCTCCCCCTTTTCGCTTTTCCCTCCTTCCGCCCTCAGGTGGGCGTTGGGAGGGCCCATTTTTGTTCCCCCTTTTCGCTTTTCCCCTCCTTCCGTTGGGAGGGCCCGGTGTTTCCTGTTCCCTTGTCGCTTTTTCCCTCCTTCCGCCCTCAGGTGGGCGTTGGGAGGGCCCGGTGTTTCCTGTTTCCCTTTCCCTTGTCGCTTTTTCCCTCCTTCCGCCCTCAGGTGGGCGTTGGGAGGGCCCGGTGTTTCCTGTTTCCCTTTCCCTTGTCGCTTTTTCCCTCCTTCCGCCCTCAGGTGGGCGTTGGGAGGGCCCGGTGTTTCCTGTTTCCCTTTCCCTTGTCGCTTTTTCCCTCCTTCCGCCCTCAGGTGGGCGTTGGGAGGGCCCGGTGTTTCCTGTTTCCCTTTCCCTTGTCGCTTTTTCCCTCCTTCCGCCCTCAGGTGGGCGTTGGGGCCCGTTGTTTCCTCCCCCTTTTCGCTTTTCCCTTCCGCCCTCAGATGCGTTGTTTCCTCCCCCTTTTCGCTTTTCCCTCCTTCCGCCCTCAGGTGGGCGTTGGGAGGGCCCATTTTTGTTCCCCCTTTTCGCTTTTCCCCTCCTTCCGCCCTCAGGTGGGCGTTGGGAGGGCCCGGTGTTTCCTGTTCGCATCCGCTTTTCCCACTCCTTCCGCCCTCGAATGGGCAGGCAGTGTTTCCCTTTCCCTTGTCCTTTTCCCTCCTTCCGCCTCAGATGGGCGTTGGGAAGGCCAGTGTTCCTGTTTCCTTTCCCCTTGTCTTTGCCCTCCTTTCACCCTCAGGTGGGCATTGGGGAAGGAACCGGTATTTCCTGTTGCCTTTATCTTTTCCCTCCTTCCGCCCTCAGGTGGGCGTTGGGAAGGGCCAGTGTTTCATATTTCTTTTCCCTTTTCACTTTTCCCTTTTGAAGTGCTCAAGGTTCCCCCTAGGAAGGAACCTTCGAACCGTTGATTTCCTCCCCAGTGGGAATATGCATCCTTCCGCCCCTCGGGTGGGTCCAGGAGGGAGCCATTTTTTACCTTGCTCTCTTGTCCTGATCTTTCAACTTTCCTCCTTCCTCTAAACTCTTGAGCGTTGGGAAGGGCAGTGTTTCCTGTTTGGCATCCTTTTCCCTCTTTCCGCCCTCAGGTGGGCGGTGGGAGGGCCCGGGGTTCCCGCTCTCCTCCCGCCCACAACGAGCTGCCTGAGAGGGCCAGATGTTCCCACCCCTTTTTACCATGCCGATGGGGCCACGGATGACTTGCCAGATGCTCCCACCCTCCTTTTTGCTATACCGATGGGGCCACGGATCAGTTGCCAGATGTTTTATGTACCAAGTTGGCGGGATGCAGCCCAAAACGGACCTTCGCTCACTGCCGGGTTAATTTCAGACTAGTTTCCCAGGTGTTTTACGGTGCGGAACAAAAGCCCTCTGCCCTGAAACACTGCGGATTTTCCGCGGATCCCTCAAGGGCACGGGACAGATAGGGGACTACGTGTGTTTGGCAGCCTGAAACTACTTGGGAAAGTAATGCTTGGGTAGATGCAGCAAGTGGCTCGGTCTTCCAGTTGCGTATGATTGCTGGCAGGTTCTCTCGGGTATGTATCTTGAACTCTCGTGTTTTTGCGCGACACGAAGTCGGTTCTCTGGTTAGTCGGGGTCTAGTTGAGACATGCTGGCCGCAATGGCTCACCGGGCGGAACCTTGAGTTTTTGATGGATTTCAGCAGATTTCGCCCAGCCCCAGATGTCTGTGTTCAGGGAATAGCTGAACGGCGCCTCAGGTCGGGGCATCCATTCTGCGTCTGACGTCGCTGCTCGGGCGCCCAACATCTGCGCAGAGATCAGCAGGGGTGGTTGGCCTTCGGCGGAGGTTCATTTGCAAGTAGT